CTTCTGCACACTGTTGCTTTTGACACTCCATGCATGTCTCCAATACCATGATATTGACTGCCATTTCCTAACCAGCGGAGTGCCACAATGGTTTGTTGAAAGGGCTGGCTTCCACAATTGCTTGTACGCTTCTGCACACTGTTGCTTTTGACACTCCATGCATGTCTCCAATACCATGATATTGACTGCCATTTCCTAACCAGCGGAGTGCCACAATGGTTTGTTGAAAGGGCGAAAGAGCGTGACTGTTTTCTGTTGAGTGTTCTAAGTGTGGACCGATGGTCTGCACGATTTCCATAATCTTGGCTGCATTGAGGCGGAAACGTTCATTGAATTCGAGCAGTGATGTGAAGTCAAAGTTCATTCTGAGCTTAAATGTACGCTGGCGTCTCTACTTCTTCCACCGAATCGCTGGACCACATGTTGTCACAAGATAACGCAAAGTCAGAACTTTAGTCCTTCAGATAGGCAAGGTTCAATTTTCTGTTTTTCACAAGTGGTTTTGCAATTTTTCTATTCACTGAAGAGAATTTAGGGAAAATATCAGTCGAAAAATGCGTTACTGCAATGATCTTTCTAGGGCTCCATGAAATGTATACTCTTACAAGTTACAAGTGGTTTGCTAATAAGTACTAGTTCTTGTAATTTCTGTTTCATGGGATTCTTGTAAGTACTAGAGTAGTAAAATACATGTTTACAAGTGTTCAGTGTTGCTGCCACTCAGCCAAGCCTGAGTGAGGAAGCACCTACAACTGCCGGAACATATTGGAGGAATGCTCCACTTTATTCATGCCTATCACCCATACCAACCCAATATTNTGGCCGGAGGCGATACTTCCTGGATAAAAATTCCAAAAATTCGTCCCATTTTCATGTAATGAGTCCACATCTTGGCACAATACCGAACGCTTTCCGGAGAAGTGCTCACACGTCATTATCTGCACTCGACCTGAGATTTGATTCCCGAACGAACCGGTCGAGAGCCTGCTTCGTTCTTTGAGCTTCAGAACTCCCAGTTTCAAAGTACGCATTTTCTCGCACCCGACCAGAAACTAGATTTTCAATCGACCTTCGTGCCCGATGCACGGGTCAGGTCGGTCCTATCGAGCCGATCCGCATTCCGGCCAAGCACAAAATCTTCCTTTATTCTTAAATTCTAAAATTAAAGCGTCCTAAAATGAAAACGACGGGTCATACATTAACGTGAAGAAGCGAAACTCGCTGAACTGTTGCAGGCAGGCAATTGAGGTTTCCAAATGGACGAAACGCATCCCCTCATAATTGATCGAAAGTATGTCTGTTTGAAATTTTAAAGTTGTGTCCCCTTAGAATGTTATGCAGTGGAATTCACCGTTCCTCACTGTTACAAAAGGGAAATGGGGAGTCTCTCCAGGGGCCTATTTCATGGAATTTACAAGCTTACAAGTTTACAAGTTACAAGTGATTTGCTTATAATTACAAGTTCCTTCATTTTCTGTTTCATGGCACTCTTGTAAATACTAGTGGGAGGAATTAGTTCGGTGTTCGGAGCTGCTGTTATTTACTGTGGTATTCTGTACTGTTCTCTAGATATATTATACCTCAAGGTATTGTTCCTTCCATCATGGGGCCAATTGACAATAAGTTGGCTGTCTTGAGTGCTATCAAGCAAAGGAAGGAGGTGCTATTTGGCGCTTTCTCTGAGAAGCTCACTAAAAGACAAAAGTGTGAAGCATGGGACATTTTCTCTCAGTTTTGTTGCTCGGATCATTATGAAGTGGGGGAATAAGCCACGCCTTCAAAGGATAGGCTGAATCTCCTAGAACAATAGCATTAGGAAATGGTCGCCATCCAGCATCCATCTTTGCCATCAAAGAACTGGTTCTCAAAACCCTAGCATCATTCACGCTTCAGGGCCGCCTGCAACTGGCATAGTAGAATCTGAAATCAGGGCCACAAACGAGCATGCAATTAATGGAGTGATGCCCCTTGCGATCCACAAAGGCTACTTCATTGTCTTTTGGAGCATCGATGCATATCAGAGTACTGTCGATACATCCGCAAACACATGGCATGCCTCCCAACGCATAAAACTCACCTGCAGCATGTTCGGCCTCGTTTTGATTTGGCCAGTCGACATGCTTGGGAAACAAGTGAGCGTTAACGGCTTCCACAACTGCTTGTACGCTTCTGCACACTGTTGCTTTTGACACTCCATGCATGTCTCCAATACCATGATATTGACTGCCATTTCCTAACCAGCGGAGTGCCACAATGGTTTGTTGAAAGGGCAAAAGAGCGTGACTGTTTCCTGTTGAGTGTTCTAAGTGTGGACCGATGGTCTGCACGATTTCCATAATCTTGGTTGCATTGAGGCGGAAACGTTCATTGAATTCGAACAGAGATATGAAGTCAAAGTTCATTCTGAGCTTAAATGTACGCTGGCGTCTCTACTTCTTCCTCCGAATCGCTGGACCACATGTTGCCACAAGATAACGCAAAGTCAGAACTTTAGTCCTTGAGATAGGCAAGGTTCAATTTTCTGTTTTTCACAAGTGGTTTTGCAATTTTTCTATTCACTGAAGAGAATTTAGGGAAAATATCAGTCGAAAATGCATTACTGCAATGATACTGCGTTACTAGGGCTCCATGAAATGTATACTCTTACAAGTTACAAGTGGTTTCCTAATAAGTACAAGTTCTGTGAATTTCTGTTTCATGGGATTCTTGTAAGTACTAGAGTAGTAAAATACAACAAATGTTCACAAGTCACAACGACGGTGAGTCGGTTCGGACTCACTCCTTCGTGGATGTTGACGGCCTTGTATAACCTCCTTACGAGGTGAAATAAGTACGGATAGTGGGTATGGTTGGGTTATAATTCAACTCAGTACCCAACGAATGCAAATAAAAAAGAATATAACTTATCTCAGTAGATTGTTCAAAAATGAAATGCAGAGTCTCATTGATCATGCATGCATCATCTTTCTAATATCTTTATCAGTCTCTAAAGCAGCCAAGTAACACCTTCCCAAAAACTTATGCAGATTTTCCCATGAATCCAGCGAGCCTAAGAGGATATGATCGAATTGCAGACAAGATAATATGTTGTATACCTGGAAATATCTAAAAATAAAATATTTTAACTGTCCGGCAAACAATTTGAAATACATAACGTTGAATCCATGTCGAATCAACATTGAATGAGCCTTCGGAACATTGATACAGCGTTGGTCCAACGTTGTCTTGTTTGCTGGGTGATTCTGCGTTTATTGATTAAAATTGTTCAATGCTCCTTCCTCATCGTCGATGTCGAGACTGATCAATTGAAGGAAGTGAATGATTCAGGACGAAATCGTTCGCTGAACTCAGAGAATTAAAGTTAATATTCGTTTGGCGCAAAATGGGAGTAGGTGTCACAGCAATGCTTCGTAGTCGTAGCAAGGAATCGTATCTGAGGGCAACATAAGTTCTATTTTTATCAAAACCTCAAGGGTTGTAACTTTTCACCCATTTTTTACAAGTTACTACTTGTTACTTGTATAACCATGATTGTCTTAGTTTTTATGTTCAGTTTTATAGGATAATTTACCCCCATGAAGACGAAGATTTATGATCAGTGTTTATCAGAAAAGTACTTTGTGTTTGAACATTTAATGTTCGTTGGTTGATTCTTGAAGCAGAATTCGGTCAAAATTTGCTTGTATAGAAAAGGTGTTCCACTTGTAAATACCAGTTAAAACTAGTATTTCCATGAAATAGTGACTTGTGATTCACAAGAAGTCTACTTGTAACTTGTAGAACTTGTAAGTTCCATGAAACAGGCCCCTGGCAGAAGCAGACTCCTGGTACTTCTGGCCAGAGGATCGGAGGAGACATGCTGAATTTGCCTACTTCACTTCACAGCGCACCGAGTGACTTCAGCTTTGATATCTCTTTCGAAAATGGTAGTGTGTTCACCTGGCTTGCAAGGGTGTGTCTGGCTCTCCTGCATGAGCGATAAATTGGGGGGTGATGCTAGTGGCATAACTCCTTTCTGGACATAATGTGTCGTGTCATTCAAGTACATTAGTACTTGAATGACAGTACTATTTAGTATTAGTACTGAAGTACATTCAAGTACAAGTCATTAAACTCGAGTTTAGATCCAGTGAAGATAGTTACAATCTCGAGAAGACCCGTTCGTGGTATAATTAGAGTACTTGAAGGCTGTAACCAATCTTAGCGTGCGTTCCTGCTCAGGAAAAGGAGGCGCAAACTCTAACAATTCAGTGCTGGCACGACGTGACACACGATTGCATTTTCGACATTCAACCGTGTTTCATTTCAACGTTGTGGCAACTTTGAACCCACCCTTTTCCGCACCGTGGTGGCAACATTGTTACGTTGGAAAATCTGTCCTTGCTCAACGTTGACCTGACGTTGTTGTTCTGAATGCGTACGCTTTCCAATGGAATATTGCCACATAGGATCTCCTCGCGACTAAAATTGCGTGTTTGTAGTGCATGTTCATGTCTGCCCTAGTGCGTTTTAGTTCTGTCCCTTTGGGCCCATACTGACATATTAGTATTTTTTAGCATGAATTTTCATTGTTTCAATTCCCTCATCATGCCACTAATACATCGACAGAGAAACAGCTGGTAAATGTCCTCGCGCCGATGATCGTAAGAGAAAGCGAATCGCGCGTGAGAATCATGCTGATGTCGATCCCTCTGAAGTACCGAGTACCGAGGCTGAACTTTCCCGCGTACGCAGAGCAAATGAGGCAGATTCCGAAAACGATCAACTATAAAGAAGAGATTGGGCATGGGCTGCGCCTTGGAAGCAGTTCCCACGTGCTCGTGATTCTTTTTCATCGAGAAATATTTTCTCGTTTTATAATATTGCATTTCCCACATGCAGGAGAATGCCGCAGGACCTTCAATGGCATGCTATTCAATCAGTGAACTCAACGCCAGTGTAAAATGGCTGGGCCTTAATTTATTTTATTCTTTATTTATTTTGTAAAATCTGCAGTGGCGTCAGACTCCGTAAACAATTCTGTCGATCATCTTCTTAAGGATCATCATTTGTACTCCATCCTTCCAGACTGAAATGAAATATGGGGAATACGTTTTCATTTGCTCATTCATCCCATCTTAAAGTCAGGATTCGGCATGATTGAAAGAAAGTGCCACCATAATTGGGGCCAGTGAAGCCAAGGAAGTCCCAGCAGCCATTCGGATTCATAGGTTCTGTCTCGCTCCGTATGGTTTGGGGAAACAGGATAATGATGTCATTCATTTCCGCTACCTCCATGTATCCCGACCCCGTCGGGAATATTCCTGCCAGGGTCTCCCTGAATTCCCACAACCCAATCGGCCGTAATTAATCAACATTTCTATCAATTTTGTTTATTATTAATCTCAAGAAATCCTTTTCAGAAAAAGATGGAAATGGGAAATAGAGGTATCTTTTAAGAGGAGCAATTCATAAGAAAGTTACACCTTGTGCATTCTCTTAATTGTCTGTCACCGTGATTTCTTCCCAATATTATATTGGATTATACGAGTTAAAATTGATCCGACTTACGACGATGGAAACCGTTGCATAACGAAACAGGAATCTCTTCCTTACCTGTTATGTGCGAAATTTAAGTATAAACGGTCTAAATCTGAACTTGTTTTGTGCAAATAGTTGACTAGCTGTGATGAACGACCGTTTGAGAGTGACCGAAAGACCTGGAGGAATAACTGACGAACAGAAACGATAACGTTGAGATAGAATGTAAATTGAGAGATGAGGACCTGCCAAGGTTGCATCCATGAAGAGCGACATGCAATCGGCATTCGTTTTCTCCAGATTCACATCGCGACGGGATGTAGATGAATCCCTTCTCATCCATGCTCGCGAAATCGGGCCTCTCGGGGTCGAAGAACTCGGTTTGATCGAAGAAGGCGTAAGTGCCCTCCAAATCCATGAAAGGGGCGGGTCGAATCAGGGCTTCCCGGTAGAGCCAATTCAATGCTTCGAATGCGCCGTAGTAATCGCAGTCGCAGATGAATGGGAACTTGTCTTGGTTGCAGTCCGGTCCAAAATCCTCTGTCGGCTAAAGAAATCCCCCAAATAGCAAGACCTATTGTTATCTTTTACAGTATGGGTCAAAAGTATTGCAACAAAGGAAAAATTAATTTTATTCTCTTCCAAAGAGTGCTATGAACATGTCTCATTTCCCAATGTAATCTCCTTTCATATTGATTGAAAGGACTTTTGGACGCCCTGAGCCAGCCTTTGATTGGAGGCTTTCTCCAGCCTTGTGGCGTTTCCACCAACGATTCACACTTGCTGGGTGAACTCCAAGAATCCTAGCTACCTCCCTCTGGGACTTTCCTGCCTCAACCATTCCAACGGCTTTAGCCCGGACCTCCAACGACAGCTCGCAGACCTTCATATTGTTAGATGTTGATACCAAACAAAAGATGCTTCATACATTAGCTACGCAGTGGATGCACGCTACTTGCATAGGCTACACCATGCTAACTGGATTGTCGGAGTATTCCTAAGTTATTTAAATGACTGTAGGAAACACAAATTAAGGGCAACAAACCATGAGCGTAATCCGCTTGTGTTGCAATACTTTTGACCCATACTGTACATCTGCCACTCTTCAACAAATTTGTTAAGAAGTTGGGTTTGAAGCACACGAGTGGGAAAGAAAGCGTTTGACGAAAAATCATTGAATGCTTGGAAAATGCACAAGCAGTAACGCGTGAAATAATCGCAAATTTCCTAACCGAATTCTGTTCCACAGCCTTGAAGTGAGACATTCTGATGGGATTTCGAGCACCCGTTGTGCTGGAGGAATAAGGGACGCATCTCCTCATCGAAGAGGAACTTGCGCGAGAATATGATGTGATTTTCGTCCTATAGCATTGTCTTATGACACTGTTCAAACGAGGAATACCTTGGTAAAAAAAAAATGGAGGGTGCATCCTACAATCAGAGACTCTGAGTATATAACTTGGAGTGGCTGGGGATCGGCCGGCTTTCCCATACATGACTAACGTGTTGGGCAGTGAATCTCTCTTGAGATCTTGTTTTGGGTCAATTTTGGGCAACATATGAATGGGATTGATCAGATTGGGTTCCGAACTATCGAAATCGGCAGGGTTCTATATGAGCGAACGGAGGGGCACAAATATATAGCTGATTATGCTGTATAATCGTCTGGACTGCCTAGACTGTTAAGATTCTACCCGTTAACATGGTGATATCAGTCATAATCAAAGTTGCTTTATCCAGGATATATGATCCGATAGACCTAGACTCAAATTTACTCAATGATCCCAAACATTCATCATTGACTCATCTGCCGCTGTAGGCTTTATGTCGAAATAAGGAAAGTCTTTCCAAGGTCACTTAAACTGTTAGACTATGAAACTTGAGGCGAGTTGGTGAGTGACTTTGGATCACTGGGATATGGGCAGGGCTTAGGTGACCTTGGCACTGCAGTATTCTATAAGGTTGGTTAGGTTCAAAAGTGTCCAGCAAGAAAATGTTCAATTCCCACGTTTCCCATGTCACCGGACTTTTGGCTACCATTATAAATTGGGCGTATGAAAGGACGTAGAATTGCTCCAGATTCCCGTTGCCACTTATTGCAACTTACATAGCAATGCATGGCTTCCATCCCGAGCTCAGAGGCCACGTTTCTTTCGCTCACGAAGTTTTTATACATGTCTCGATTGTAGAATCCGTGACCTATGAACAAAAGCATGCAGGCCTCGTCTAATTGAATCCGTTTGCTTAGGAAGCAATATGAAATTCCGAGAATGAGACCGTTAAGCCAGTCGAGGGTGCCCGTGAAGATGAAGACCCGATCGTCGGCCAGATTGGCGGGGGCGTCGATGTGGCCAGCTTGGTAGAAATCGTAAACAGCTCCGAAGAGCTCGTTCACGCTGAAGTCCAGATTCGCGCACCGCTCTAATTCCTCTGGGGTTCCCGTACCGGCACAGAAGTATGGCCCTGCAGTACAATATTTTGTCGTTTTTTGTCACCTCGAGGACGTCAGAGAGAAATAAGCGAAACGCACTTCCGGCAAACATGGCCGCTCCGGTGATGTTGGAGGAGAAGGCGAAATGGAGCTGCATGGACATGGACGCTCCCGACGAGAAACCGGACACGGTTATCCCTCTCCTATCCACATTGTACTGCTCTAAATAATAATACAGTCGAACTCGGTTATAACGACCTCGGTTATAACGAAACCTCGGTTATAACGACGAAAGCGCCAGGTCCCGGCGTACAGCCCATAAGGCACGTTACATTTTACCTCGGTTGTAGCGAACTCGGTTATAACGGAACCTTGGTTATAACGAAGTCCATTGAAGGTCCCACAGACGAAATCGACGACGTTCATGTCATTAATCCGTCATTCTTAACTGAAATTTCCGCCAATCGAAAAATTAGCGTTGGCGAGCTATAACTTTATATTTCCTGGATTCGGAATTCCTTGAGAGTCATGTGGGTGTGGCTTGAGCAATGTTAGGGAGGGATAATCCCCTGCTTCCTTCTCCCATAGTCATCCTTCAGCCACAACTCGGCAGTTCATGAGTCGGAAACGGTCATGGCAGCACATCCATAAACTTTTCATTACGTCGAGGCACCGAAGCTAATCCAGGTACGGGCCTACGTGACGTGCACCATTAGGTCACGCTCCTGCCATCACGGATAGAATTCAACTTCGGCAGCTTGAAGTACTCAGCAAAGCATTCAAGGTGAGAGAAATGGTCTATTAGGAATTCTTATCCAGAAAATCATCCGTTCAAGGTTAGAAAGATAACCTTACTTTATTATTTTATAGTTTTATTATTTACAACGATTTGTAACATTATTTGTGACATTTCTCGAGCGGATTGGATCCACACGCAAATCATCTCTTATGTTGAACGTGCTGTTAGGACGTAAGTTAAAATGGATGAGAATATCAACTACAGAGATTTGTCAATATAGTTGTGAGGTTATCGCAAAAGGACAATGAGGAGATACGAGTACTATCACAAAAATCCTGTGAAGGGAGAACAGGGTTTTCGTAAAAGGCAGCGTTTTGTTGCAAAACGTGCAAGGCCAAGCTTTCCCCCATAAGATGTTATATTTATCCTCCCGATTCTAAATATGGTCGTTTATCTTATCTCGAGAATAGGAAGGCGAAAGTGCTCTGTTGCGAATTTCCGGTTTTCTATGGAGCAAGGAATAATTACCATCTGGCGCTTCAATATGGTTTTGAATCGTAAATGGAATCTTCATCATAGTACAAAAATTGGACTATATAGTAAAGGTATAAGGAAGAAAATAAATTACCGAACTATCTCTATCCCAGAGATCCAGAAAATGAAGCTAAAATTGGCCGAATAGGAAAGACGACTGGAAGCTTGGGGAAATACATTCTTTCCTCTGACGAATGACCTAGAACTTTTTTACTCGTTTTTCCTGACATTCAGTATAGGAGTCTTATGCATAGTTAGTCGCGTCTCTTTTTTTTAATCAATGCCACAGGTTCAGATATATTCTAGTTGTTCTTCCAAGCAAGACAAAATGTTGACCTGTTGTCTTACAAAGGTCTTAGCCATTAGATGGTATGCTGTATGGGGCAGTGCTGCACCTCTTCATCGTTTTCGCATCCCCCTTGCTTAAGTCTTCGTTACCTGAGTATCGTCCTGACGCACTCACCACGTGGTTCTCATCATTCATTCCATTCAGCAGTTCGAAATCAGCTCTTTTAGCACTCCCTGCGAATGCCACCCTAGTGCACCTGTTGATGTATCCCGCAGGAATTGCTTCTTTCCGTCCCATAAGTTTATATGTTATGATGTCTTCTCCGTATTGATCCCCCATAGCAGAGAAATGAAATTAGGATTTAGCCAAGTCTGACCCATTTACAAGTTAAGAGATGAGAGCGCTTTCGCCCTCACGGTATCGAGGTCGAATATTAAATTATATTTCGGAATACTCGTCAATGAAATGACGAGCGCGATATTCCTGACGAACGAAAGTGACAGTAACCATTCAATCCAACACCGATTAGATTAACCAAGCGAAAAGAGAAAGCGAAATGTCACATAAATAGATTAATGAAATCGGAGAAGCCTCACGGAGCTGCATGACGGAGTGGCTGTAGTCGATGCAGACGAGGAGAAACAGGTAAACGGGGAAGGAATCCATGTTCGCGGCGACCATGGATATGGCAATTGCCATCTCAACCGCAGTTTCCGTGGGATATGTTTCACCTGTCTAAGTGGATATTCTTGTACTCTTATCAGTTGGCAACACCGGTGACCTTCGAGTGCGTGCATTGGTTTGGAATTAAATTGTTTTTACCGCTTGCTCCAATACGTATTGGCGACCTGTCAAAAGAGGGAGAAAAGCAGTGCTTAAAATTAGAACTGTCACGATAGCAGATTTTAAAACATCGATGCATCGACCTGATCTATCGATAGTTTATCGATGCATTGGGGGGGGGGGCGCGCCGGAGGGTTCAATCTTTTCTCGCCGCGATTGGACGTAGGTTTGCCTTCCATCGTTTCTTGGCTCGATCGGAGCGCAGACCTCTATCCGTCTTCCACAATCTCACGCTTCTGATCGGGGAGGTGCAGGGGGAATGTGCGACCTTCGCAAGGAGTAATGAAACCTACCATGCCCCCAATTATTGAAGATTACATCCATTCCTTGATGGATGCATCAGGACAGCCCTAATTTTTTTTATTGCCGCTTAGAATCAGTTGCCGTGGTTCATGTAATTTTTTTTCTCTTTTTCTTCGTTCTACAGTCTTCCTTGGACATCGGCAACGGCAGATAGCAAACCTAGCGATGGTGCCAAACCGGCGGCTGCGAAAACATTTGTACAGCTGATAATAAGCAAAGTCTATGTGCAAAATTCACTTTGTGTTCACCTCAATAAAGATATATAATGCCCCAGGGGCAAGTTAAAATTCTAAAAAAAAAGTTATAATTCTATACTAATGAGAAAGACGGGAATATAGAGAGGGGATTAACCAATATACGTTTCGAAATCAAGGGAGTAAAAGTCCAATTTCGCAGCATGAACCTGAAGAGATCGAGCAGAAGACTGAAACAGAAATAAATATCAGTCTTCCCTCCCTCTCCTTTCCCCACTTCCAGTCTCCGATTCTAATAGGTTTTTTTTTCCTTTCTGTCTTTCATATAGTCAGTCCCAGCATTTCCAGAATTAGATCGTGATTAATTGCAAGCCCATTTGGGTCACGCCGCCTCTTCATTTCCCCGTCCGAACGGATCAATCGAATATCCAATGGGACATTTCCACTTGAAAAATCATCTGTCGATACCTCGCAATAGTCGAAAAAACTATCGATACCTCCAACCATCGATAGTGGAATCGATGCATCAATCTATCGTGACAGCCCTACTTAAAATTTGTGCTCGCTAAATAATACTTTGTAATTTACTCTTTGATAATCATTCTGAAAAAACAATCATTCTGAGAGGAAAGCAGATTGCGAAATATTTATGTTTGACTTCATAGGTTGCAATTTCAATAATATTTATTAATGAAAGAAACGTCGCGGTAATTTTCGGCAAAGGCTCAATCGTTTTTCTCGAGAGAGGTCCGATTAACCTGTATTGATGAATGACACTTGAGTTTTCGCAAAACGTTTTTGAACTCGTCAATTCGTCGTTCGGAATTCTATGTACTGAATTTTAAGTTTGTGAGTATTTATAATCTTGGGGAGACTTTAGTGCCTCAAAGGGCCATAAAGTAAAGATGGTACTCGCTGGAATGGTACTTGTACCTTCCTCACGTGATGGCTAAAAGCCAATGAGAAATCAATCGAAATATCGCGCATTAGATTTAATTTCATATTTTCATTTTAAAAAATGTATTTCGTCCTCCGTGGAGTGTTCGTTTATCATAGGCTTGTTTTCAGGACATTTGCATCTTCCCCAACTGTGAATTTCTTTTTGGCCTGATGATGGGCCAAAACGACATGACTAGCTTTCGCAATTTGTAATTCATGAATTTCCCAGCGAATACCAATACATTACAAGCTTCTGATGGCCCGCTGAAATAATTTTTGACTGGGTGCGGTCTATTCGGTAGTGGGCCGAAGAGAAACGGAATAGTAATACGTAATATCACCTGATCAATATAAACAGAAATCATCAGTAATGTTTCTCGATGATGCCAGCAATACTCATGAGATTTAAATTATTGGCTTCTTTAGTCTCAAAGAAAGCCTTACACGAGAACAATTCATGGGCAGGACCGAGGTAAACCATCCCTGCCGGTTGGCGTCACATTATTCCGGCTCGTTGAATGTTTTATGAAATGGGCGTGACATATTGGATCTTCCTCGGACAGCTATCATATCTGCTGCATTAGGTGCGTGTGACACACTTCACTTAATCGGACGCAAAATCGTTCATATAGGTGGGTGCATCCGAGTACCAGAACAGTATACAGGTGTACCACCTGCAAAGACGTTTCCCACGACTGGCACTCTCGGCTTTGCCCATGGCTACTCGAAGGGTGAGCTTTACCTTCTTCAACTCTGTTGACAGAAAATGTCCCCCCCCCCTCTCTGAAAGTATAATGCGTCCATGTCACTCCGTCATCCCAGCTAAACATTCCTGAAACCAACCTTTCTCCAAATCATAGAGGACGATCTGGGGACTTGCCGCTTTTCTCGCACTTTGCACCCAATGGAAACCGTCTGATGGGAACATGGGTACCTTGTTCCGACGAGTGGAGGGAGTGAACGTACACCTCCTGAATACCCTATCTCAAGTGGCCTCCGGGAGTGCGATCAAATGCGCTGCTCTTTGCTCCGGGTGAGCGATCATTGAAGGATGGTTCACTTGCGATAGTTTCCTTCTCAGCACATCCCGGTTACTTGCAAGAGAAGGAAGGAATGTTGCGAAGAGGGCCCTCCTCGACATACAATGCGTGGGATGATCCTTTAATTCTCTAGATCACATAGAAATGAAAACTATCCCTGGGGATGCGTAGGAACAATGGGAAAATATACTATTAGCCATCTTTTCGTCACAGGAAACCTGGGAGCTGACCATGAATGGCCAGTGCGGAATATCTGTCGCCAGCTATTTATGGATTCTTCTC